TACCACCCTATGGTCATCGTCATGATTTTGTACCACGCAGACCAGATGTATGTTAAGAATTTCAATTTACTTGTTTTTTTCATCATCTCTCTTTCTCGTTAGATGTTTGGTGATGGTGGTGCATTTCCCGAAATCCATATGGCACAATATCCACTTAATATGGGTCTTACCAAAAATCAAACATCAAATGCAATTCAACTTCAAGTTGATGCTGATGGAAAACCAAAATTTGATGCTATCGTTAAACAAAATGTCAAAGGCAGTAAAGTAAGTTTGATCATTTCTTGTTTTATATACTTAATTTTTATTTTTGTTAGATTGTTTATTCAAGTTTTGTCGATTTATTACCTAAAGAAGTTCGTGAAGATGATCCAAGTTTACAAAAACCATCAGACGAAGAATTAAAAGAAGTAAATAAACTTTTATTTATATTGAATTCAGTCATGTCTTATTGAGGTTTTTTTCTTTTAAGAAAACAGAAAAAACTCGTCAAGCACTCGAAGCACTCGTATCATCTAAAGTATCATCTGCTTTACCTGTTCAACATGCAGAAAAACAAGCACCTGTTCAATATATCCGTTATACACCTTCGCAGCAAGGAGCTGCATTTAATTCCGGTGCTAAACAACGTATTATTCAAATGGTTGAAGTTCAAAAAGATCCTATGGAACCACCTCGATTTAAGTGAGTAAAAAAAACAAAACAAAATTATAAGTTCCATTATCTATTTAATCTATTAGAATTAATAAGAAGATTCCTCGTGGACCTCCAAGTCCTCCAGCACCAATTCTTCATTCACCAACACGAAAAGTTACTGTAAAAGAACAACAAGATTGGAAGATTCCACCATGTATATCCAATTGGAAAAACGCTAAAGTATGATTTTCGTTTTTATTTTATTATGACAAAGTTTGAATTCTTTTAGGGTTATACTATTCCACTTGATAAACGTTTAGCAGCTGATGGTCGTGGTCTTCAAAGTACACATATCAATGAAAATTTCGCTAAACTTGCTGAAGCTTTATATACCGCTGATCTAAAAGTGAGATTTATTTTATGAACCGAGGGAAGACTTTGCCTTTTTTTTTTCTCTTCTTCTTTTTAGGCTCGTGAAGCAGTAGATATGCGTGCTAAAGTAGAAAAACAAATAGCTAAAAAACAAAAAGAAGAAAAAGAAGAACGATTACGTGAATTAGCTCTTCATGCTCGAACAAATCGAGCTGGCATTCGTCCTGCAGGTAAATTATTTATTTAACTTGAAAAAAATGTTTTTCTTTTGTTTTTTTTTCTTTCTTTTAGATAAGAGTGATGATCAAAGTGCTGAACGAGATGAAATTCGACAGGAAAGACAGAAAGAACGACAACGTGCTGCTGCTCTTCAACGAGCTGGAGGCGATAAACGGTATTTAACAAATAATCGACATAAAAATTGTTATGCTCTCGTCTTTTTTCTTCTCTCTATTTATTGTAGAAATCGTCCAAAAGAACGTGATATTAGTGAACAGATTGCATTAGGTGTACAAACTGCAAGTAATACAGGTGTTCAATATGATCAACGTTTGTTTAATATGTCAGCGGTAAGAGTTTTTGTTATTCATATCGTTGTTTTTCGTCAATGACTAAATATTGTTTTTGTTTTGCTATTTGTGTAGGGTTTTGGTAGTGGTTTGGGTGATGATGAAGCTTATAATGTGTATGATCAACCTTGGAATACATCAACTGCTGTTGCTTCTCAAATTTATAAACCAACAAAAACAACGAAAGATAATTTTGAGGATACTGAAGCTTTAATTAATGCTTCGAAACGGTTCGACTTTTTTTCTTTTCTTTATTTATTAAAAGAATTTGAATATTATTATTTATTTAGATTTGAACAAGACCGTGGCTTCAAAGGAGCTGATCGAGCAGCACCACGTGATGGTCCTGTACAGTTTCAACGTGAAGAAGATCCATTCGGTTTAACTGGTTTCTTGAAAGATGTACGACATGGTGGTACAGGTAGTTCGGCTCCGTCAGCTAATTCATCGTCAGTTTCATCGTCGAAACGGAGTAATGCCGATGATCGAGAAGAACGAAGTAGTGAAAAACGTCGCAAGAAATAAATTAATCTTATTTGGATTTTTGGTTTTTGTATATTATGTCTCGTTATTTCCTGATCTTTTTTTTTTGTTGTTCTTTATCTTTCTAATACTCTTCAAGTTGTTTAACATGTTGAGGAAAAGAAACATTCCTCATGTGATTGGTCTCATTATTATTAGCAGTTTTTTTGTCTTTGCCCCTGTTTGTCTGTACAACGTTTTTCGACTGAAATAAATGTAAAACTGCATAAGTGTTCATGATCATTGGATATAATTTTGTTTGTATTTGATAAATTGGCATATCTGATACCTATTCAATTCAAGGGAAACACATCCATGAATGTATTGAATATTTGAAATTGAAAGAGTCCTTCAATGAAAAACAAATCTGTTATGATTTATTTAGACCTTCAGGAGAAGGACCAAAATAATGAATCACTTATGATATCGAATTGTTATGAGCAACAACATTTATGTGAAGAAACAGGAGACTAGACAAAAAGGTATGTCAAACAGCAAGGACAAGAAAATGCGTGGTACGATGAAGAAAGAAGAGGCTGAATTTATTTATTGCTTGAATTTTTTTTTTTGGTTTTCAATGTTTGCCATTGATTGCTCTCAATTATTTTGACACTGTGAAGTAATAGATTCCAGTTATTTCTGATAATTCTACTCGTATTAGCTGTTTAACAGAGCAACAATCTTATGCTATAGACGGTTGAATCGATCATATTTAAAGTAAGGTCAGGAGAATGTAAAATCTGAGTAGATTTTATTTTCATTTTATTTAGATATGATTTTATACGCTGATTATAAATATATAGTTTTTATCTCAATTGGATCACTGTTTAGTGAAAATGGTCAACTTATCACTAAGGTCAAATCTATGACAAAAACAATCCCATTATTTTTCGAAACTTCTCACGTTTTTCTTATACATGTATTTTCTGTAATATCTGTGAATAGTTTATTTTAATTTAAAATCACAAACTGAGTGTAAAAATATTATTCGATTGGATTCTAAATTAATAAAGAAAAAATATTCCGTTCAAAACGGACAGCTTAAGCATACATCTTCCAACCAAAATCTTTTCGTTGATTTTTGTAATCTATGTTCTATTTTTTTGCTTTCAAATCAAGATTAATGACAAGAATGATTATTAAAAACTTTATTTAAGTAGAATACATGATCAATCAGTTTTTACTTAAAGAAAGATTGTCAGTCTTTTTTGTACTATTTATTAAAATTGAAATGAATCGGCTAGTAGAATGCTTCCATCTATAGATTATCTATTTTCTAAGATTCAGTAAGTGCTTGTGTATTTGTCTTGTATTTTGATTTATATAGTCGAATATATATTCTTACCCAAACTTTGATTCAGCTACTAACACAGTACAATAATTATAGTGGATTCTAAATAAGAAACAGTTAATAAATGAAGCATTTTGTCAAAAGACTCATTTCCGGTATTTTTCAATAGTATTAAAAAACTAAAACTTTTAATTGTAGTAAATAATGATTAATCATTCGCGGTACTTAAATAAAAAGTCTAAGTCAATCTTGTAATTAATCTTGACTTGAGATCAAATAGATGTAATTGTATAATGCGAAGAGAAGGTAGAAGAGTAAGAGTTTTATCTAGAAATGAGATTCCGAACATATACGAATGGTCCTTTTTGTAAATCTATGTTGTTTTTTATTAGAATAATTGGGAATGTATATCTTGTCTCATCAGAATCACTTGAGCTCAAAATTCAAATGTACTTTTGTAGACGTTTTTTAGATTTTGTTTTTGCTATTGAAAAAATTGTTTTTTTTTAATTTCAATAACAGAATTGTACAAAAAATGCAAAAATGTTTCGATATTTGACAGGTATGTTTTCTGCATAGCGCAAGTTTAGACCAAAACAGCAAGTATTTCGAAATCAAGACAAAAGCTATGTCAAATCATATATATTTAAACAAAAAGTGTTTTACGAAAAAATGCATGCCGAATAAAGCGCAAAAACAAAACTTATCAAAAAATATCGGGGCAAGGAGCACACCTACTTTTCTTATTGGAACATTTTTGCTGATATACAGATGATCTGGCACTGTTTTTCCGTACTGATTCTGAATATCCATTTGGTTTTACTTTGAGATGGAACTCTGGTGATAAAAACTAGTGAGTGTGGCTGCATTTTGACAACTCTGGCTACTTCTTTTATGATTGTAATCAGGAAAATTTCAATTTTATTGACAATGAAAAATTAAAATTTATCAAAACATTTAAAAATAGATGAAATATAAAACGCATTTGAGTTTTGCATTTTTTTGTCCTTCTCTTTTCTGTTTTACTGAATAGAATTTAGAAAATTTGTACTATCTCAGCCAACGAGAGGTATAACATCTCAAGGTAGTGTTCTCGCTAATACAACCAACCAATTGTTTTGTGAAAAGAGGTGTTTCAAAAAAATTCTGCTTTCCAATAATTGCCGGTGATTACGTTGATTGCAATCAGTTTTTGTTCTCCTTGGATAATATCAACACATTATTCTCACCACTTACTCGACAGAAATTGTAGTACATGCTACTTGCAACTTGTAGTCGAAACCAAGTTCAATGATTCAGTTAACCACGACATCTAAATCACTTGTTGATGAAATGGAGGAACAGATTCTCCAATGTAGATTTATGAAAGTGCACTTTTCGGGGGTTATTCGAGATCGGTACATATATACGATACAATACTTTTTTCCTTCTGTTCTTTCAATCTATCAATGCCTCGACATGTTACCACACTACAGTGTTTTTGCTCATTGCTTTACATGTTTGTATTCAACTAAAGAAAATGTTCTTCTAGTACACTTTTCAATAATATTTTAATGTGTGTAATGCATCTCTATTTTCATTTCAGATAAAAATTAATTTTTTAACACAAAATGTCGTCTTCAAAGATGACTATTGGTAATAATTTACTTCGACGATTGAAATCGTTGGGTATTGACATAATTTTCGGAGTGCCTGGTGATTATAACTTGGTATAGTATCTCTAATTTCTGTATCTTTTTATAAATCTAAAATTGATTCTTTTCGCTTTTCTTCTAGCCATTTCTTGATCAGATCGAAGGTAAGATTCTGTATGTAAATCATACTTATTAATACTCTTCATTTGGACATAGATTTTGGTGGTATTCAATGGGGCAATAACTGCAATGAATTGAATGCATCCTATACAGCCGATGGATATGCTCGTATTCGAGGCATTGGTGTAAGTTAATTTATATATGTACAAAACATTCTATCGTTTTTTGTTTTGGATAAAATAATCCAGGCTCTTGTGACAACATTTGGTGTCGGTGAACTATCAGCTATAAATGGTAAAGTTACATTTGTTTAAATTTTCTAGAAATGATCTTTTATATACAAAGGTATTGCTGGTTCATATGCTGAAATGGTATCGGTGGTACATATTGTTGGAACACCTCCGACTACATCGCAAATCAGCAGTGCTATTCTTCATTATACACTTGGTAATGGTGATTTTCAAGTTTTTGCAAATATGTATAAAGAAGTCACGGTAAATACTTTTTCTGAATACTAAATTAGCATTTTTAAATATGTTCATAGATTGCTCAAGCAACTTTAACAAAAGAAAATGCTGTTGAAGAGATCGATCGTATTCTTACTCAATGGTGATATTCTTCATAGTGACAAACAATTGTAGATACTTTGTTTTTGTGTTTAGTTTGCTTAAAGGTCGACCAGTTTATATAGGTTTAGCTGTAGATCTTAGTGGTTACGAGGTCAATCTTGATTCATCATCTATTAAACCACTTAATTTATCACTTGTGCGAAATCCAAAAAATGAACATCAAGCAGCTCTTGAAAATGTACTTGATCTTGTTAAAAAGGCTGAACGTATGATTGTTATTGTTGACGCGTAAGAAACAATATTTTCTTAAGTTTAATTGTTCCATTTTCATCATATAATCTTTTTTTAATATTAGATGTGCTGTTCGACATGATATAATGAACAAAGTTTTAAAATTTATTGAACATACTCAGTTACCTGTTTATGTAACACATATGGCTAAAGGTGGTATTGATGAAGATCATCCACAATTTCGTGGCGTTTTTGCAGGAAATTGTTCAACAGAACAAGTACAGGAAGAAGTGTATGATGCAGATCTTATTCTTTCTATTGGCTCAATGAATAGTGATTTTAATACAGGTGGTTTTACGTATCGTTTATCACAGAAAAAGACTATTGGTAACTACTTTTTCTTGTCTAATCGTTTGTTTTTTTTCAAAAATTGCTCATCGATTAATTGTTCTATATAGAATTCCATACGTATCATACCAAAATTTTTTATGCTATATATGATAAAGTTGATATGCGTGAACTTTTACCTGATTTAACTGAACATTGGCCAACCGATATTATTTATTCATATAAAGGTAAACCATATGAAATTGAAAAACCGATATTAGATTCCAAACATCAATATGAAATTGTACAAGAATATTTCTGGCATAAATTATCAGTCTTTATTCCAGAAAATTCAATCGTTATTGCTGAAACTGGAACATCTGAATTTGGTAAATTTTATAAACATGAATGTATTCCAAAAATCAAATTTATACTTTAGGTATTTTTAATATGCGTGCACCGCGCGGTGTTACATTTTTAACACAAATATTATGTGGTTCAATCGGTTATTCTGTTGGTGCAGCTTTAGGTGCAGCATTAGCTGCAAAAGATCAAAATCGTCGAGTTTTTGTTTTAGTTGGAGATGGTTCTTTTCTAGTAAGAAATTGCAAGTAGACAAAAAGCAAAGTAACAAAGTTTCATTTTAGCTTGTATGCCAAGAAGTATCATCAATGTTACGATGTAAAAACTAATATAGTTATTATTGTATTGAATAATGATGGCTATACAATCGAAAAACTTATTCACGGTCCTGATCGTCTTTATAATAATATTCAAATGTGGCGTTATCATAAGAGTTTTGGATATTTTGGTGATGGATTAAAACAAAATCGAGAACAAGCCGTTACGAGTTTTGCTGATATGGTTAAAACTCGAGAAGAATTCGAAAAAGCTATAACGCAAGCATTGAAAGAAACTGATAAAATTCATTTTGTCGAAGTTGTTATGTCACCTATGGATGCACCGAAAAGTTTAGTACTAACTATTGAAGGTACAAGAGAATACAAGAAACGAAAGCATGAAACACAAGAATAATCTCAATAGACTAAATCAGCAGTCATATATTTTCTTTTAAATCTCTTAGTAATCTTCTATGTAGTGTATCATGGTTTTTTTAGTGACTGATTCAGTATTATTTTAGCGCGTTATGTTCTTCTATTTCATCAATAAAACTATTGTATTTATTGAGCGTTGTCAACGTAATACGTAAATGATTACATATAGACTTTTGTTAAGTGAACTTCAAGGCAAAGTTTCTAAATAAATTCGAAATATGCCTTATCGACTTAGATCAAGTCAAAATGAAATATTTGATGAGTCGTTGCCATGAATTTATCGTATATTTTGATAATGTCGCTTGTTATCTAAAGTATAATATTATTGAAGGCTACTAATAAAAATATTTATCGAAGGACATTTATATACATAAACATTGAAAACTGACTATTTTATTAGTTAGCAGTTACCGGTCAGTCGATAACAATGCAAATTTCTTCAAATTTCGTATAGCTCAATGGCATTTACTACCGTTGCAAGTGTAGGTCTCGAAATGATGCATAATAACGATAGAAAAAATAACAACGAACACTTTTCGATTATACTCGAATTGATTATTTCATATGTGAAATATAGTGTCAGTAGCAAATGAATGATGATGAGAAGAAAATGATTTCAGATATTTTTGGTTTTGATAGTAACCGTATTATTAAGCAAATCTCTTCAGAGTAAGCATAGATGTGAATTAGGAAGAAAAGACCCAAACTCATAATAAATCAAGCTAACACATATGATTCACTAAAAATACTAATTATTTCCTTTGACATCTATCATATGAAGAGTGGAGTGATATACAATGCTTTCACTTTAAATGATTCTCACATTGAATTTCACATTCACAGTATCGACTTCTGATAAAATTACCTATGCTCTCTGCATAACGATCAATGTAAATTCATTTAAGTCTGACCGATACAGACTCAATATTTTTTCTTATATCTGATTTACAACGTAAATTCGAATAGGCAAAGTCTTGTGATTGAGCTAAATTAAGTTATCTGCAAAAAAGAAACTTAAATGATCATGATAGATGTTTGTATTATGCTAATACTAACTTAACACTAATGCCACATTATTAAACTATTTTTTTTAACTATAACACAAAATTATTTGATTTTTAATAGTAACGCTAAACCTAACCCCTACTTTCTTCAACTGAACTAGAAACAAGGGGTGTGCTTTTTATTGAAGATATCTGAGTTTGTTTAAGGCATTCGTGGAGTTTGGTTGATTCTATGGAACAATATTTACATTCTTACATCGAAAGTTCTCGAACGACTTCATTCTTTAACTTCAGAAACACCGACCTATTCATTGTATGACAATTTCTCTTAAGAAATACTTTGGCAATGAGAAGGAATTCATGGTGATCCTTATCTATTAAACACAGCCCATACTAATCATATATGTGCAATTCTTACTAACAGTAATCTGTAGGAACTGCAGCGATGTACAATCCATCGTGGTTGATGCTTTGGTATTCACGAAATGCAATAAACCATGGATAAAATTTGAATATGAGTATGATAGTAAAATGAATGTTCACATACAACCAGTGAGCCAGCTATCCATATCCTCAATAGAACAAAGATAAAAAGCTGAATCGACTAGATTTGTATACACAGCAACAAAACTCATACAATGTCATCTTGCTGGATGTGTGATTTTCTTTTGTATAAGTTCCAATTCATAAACTGATGCCACAACTTTTTTCGAATGTCTAAGAAAAGTTTTTCATCTACCATATCGACTTTTCTTTAGAAGTTTCACACTCGACGATGAAACGTCAAAAAAAATAGCTGGTTGTTTGTCAATCTTGTTTTCTTCAGAATTTTTCCTTATTTCCATTAAAGAAATGAACTGTCGATTTACAAGTAATAAGAGTGAACATATATGCTCACACTCATGATGACATTAGCTCTGTAACTCACTGGATAAAGCAATATCCGTTGTTTATCATTATTCTTTTCGTTTGTCAACCAAAAAATATCAACACCGTCCAGGTGGAGAAATAGGGTGCTCTTGTAACCAATGAGAGACGGTCCGTAATTATGTTGTCTTTTCTTTCACTATTATTGATATTGATAAAATGAAATGAATATAGTTTGACATTACTTCTAACTACAAAGTAATATGAGCATTTAATTAAACTGAATTTTCCCAACAGTATTCAACATGATTGATCTATTGAGTGATGAATTTTTTCACTCTTTTGATTACTTTCAAAGGAAGCAACATTGAAATTTGCACTGCCAGCTATTTGAACAGCCATAAATACGATTCAATGATCTGAGAATGACTGTATTCCATTATCAGATGTGTTTTTCATCAAACATCGGTATTTCACTAATAGTTCGGAAGCTATTTGTATTACGAAATGTAACTCAAACGCTTTTCGACTATGGGAATACTGTTTACTGAGCTTAGTCAATGCAAGAAACTGAGCTTAGTAACATCTATTTAATGACATGTACTCATGACAAGATGTTGGCTGATAGAAGTAAATTCGTTTAGTCATTTAGATGTAACAGGTTGGTTGCTTTTGTTGAAGAATAGTTGAATGTACCTATTTCTATTTTTGTGAATATTACAAATGTTTCGAGCAGCTCGATTTCTTGAGCTTTGATAAAAAGCTTTTTCCGCAACAAGTTCTATGATTGTCATGTAGAAGTCGCTAGTACAGCTTCGCAAGAAATATGAGAAATAAGAAGTCTGTATGTGGGAGAGTAAACATGACTGGATCTGCGGTAGAAAAACTATTTTTCTTCATTAAGTTGTACCAAAAATTATGCTTCTTCTAAGATTTCACGATAAACTCCTAGTACGCTCTTGAATTATAATTCATCATGCGACGGGTATTGCATTCTTCTTTTTGATTTCATCTATTAGAAATGTAACAAGAATATGAATTCTAATTTCCTAAATGTCAAAAAAAACAAGATGCTTATTCGCACTAAGAAAACTGTCAATTGTGAGAAATTCACAATTCAACGGCCTCTCTACACAAGATCGAACATAAGCAACGTCATGGTATTGCAGGTGTACTTTTTTTACTTTTACAATTCCCTTTTTATGTTCGATTCCTGTCATTGTAGCTGTGATCGGTCGTTTCATCTCGAGCAGATGTTTGCTAGACTTTTCGATACGTCCTTGAAGTACACCGTCTCTCAATTGAGCGAGCATTTTCTCGAATTCGTTTGATGCCCACACATCGATATCGGTTGGTGTCCCACTCTGGAAAAAAAATAGTGTCGTACCGAACCATTTTGTTTCAAAAATCGAAATCTTTTGAAAGCTTTTGTAAGAACCTAAGTCACCTTCAAAATGATTGTTAGCGATCTAGGAAACTTTTTTAAAGGTTTCGGAGATCTTTTAAAAAGCCCAGAAAAGATTTAGAATTCGTTTCAAAAATCGAAACCTTTTTTCAGTACACGAAAGCCTCTTTGGATTGGTAATCATAAATCTTTTTTTTCGTGTATCCACTCGATGAAAGTCAATGAAAAGCTCCTCGTTGAAGACCATGGCTATCGGCACTGTTGGTGGCGAATTACTGATATCTTCTAAATACAGAGGCACAAAGTTTCTCTTCAATACATCAGTAAGAGACATTTTTCGTCGACATTTGATGGATATGGTATATTTCAGAAGTTGTCGATGGCTGCAAAACGATGACGTTGTCAATAAGAGGTACAAACCAATTACGATATCGATCAATAATTATATCACTATCCACAGCCACATGATAAAGAATCTGACTGAGTAACTTTGTTGAATTTGTCTGCAGATCAGGGTTAGGATTGTTGCCTTTGTGATCATAGAAACGAATGAGGAGATATTCATTCATGATGAGACCAAGAGATCGTTCGGATGGAGACTTTTGTATTTCCATCTCCAAGGGACTAAATGATTTGTCTGTACTCACAATGAGATGCAATTCGTGGAAAAATTATCCGATTGACCAGAGATCGAGTTGATGCAACACACGACTACATTGGTGTCGCGAATCTCTATCGGTTTTGGCGAAGAGTTTATCATTCCTTCACATTTAGTCGGTATTCCCTTCAAAAAAAAAAGGTTTCATAAGGAAACATTGAGAATGTTAATGGAGATAATGAACTTTTTAAGATCCTATTTGGTTATCGCTACACCAGCAAAGGTTTCAGAAAATTTAAAGAACTATTCCATGTAAAGAAAGCTTCACAGTATATATAATAGTTCCATCTTGCACCATTATTTGATTATGAACTCCGTTTTCGAAAGATAGTTCTAGCGCAAATCTATTGAACTACACTGAAAAAAGGGACCAAGCGAATCCTCGACAATTGTGCAGAACTTGACTATACCTTTAGCCTACACTACGAATGCCCGAAACTTCACTAAAAATTTACTAATTGTATAAGTTATGAATAAAAACCTCTCCAGGTTTCACAGCAGAAGAACTCTTGCAGTGGACCTCTCAAGCCCATTATATTTAGAAAGCTTTCACTAAACTATTTTATTACCAACTTTCCATAATAAAGACAACTATTCAGCAATGAAACTTACTATTAATTTAATATCATTCCTATATTTAAGTATTTTGCATTCAGGTTCTAATCGCGGTTGCATATTCAATTAGTGCATTGATACTTCATGTTTTTTATGCGGAGCTAATTCTAGGAGCAATATGACAAGCATCAGATACATCATCATCAAAATTTTTTCATTAAATCGTTGATCTCTGAGCACTTTTGTCGGCAGAAACACGATTTCTGCACGCTTAACAGCTTCATATGCTTAGATTTCATGAATCACTCCAATAATAACTTTAACATAGCTTTTGCGACATTGGTTATTTGACTGCATTGACACAAACAATGACTAAAGATTTGCCAAAATGATATAATGCTTGTTTATCGAGCAGGTTCAAACCGTTTCAGTGTATTTCATTTTGCCTCATTTGGCTTTCGTCGTGTTCAAGCCAATTTAGAGAATACAAC